GCTCACAAAAGCAGTGCTTGAGCAGAGTTTCAAATGCACATACTTTGGAGATGAACAGAGCTGGGCTGTCGTACCATCCATGAGATAAGCAGCTAGTTAAACTGTGACTCCATTTGCTGGTGTATAAAGTGGGGATGCTGTTTCCTGCCTCCCAGGTTTATGAGGAGGTCAAAGGGAGATGAGATGTGCTCAGTGTGAGTTGCCTCACCCACCAGTGTGAGCAGCGCCATTTCAGGACCCCGTGCTTCGGCACCCAGTGATAATCCTGACAGCATACTGAGCTTGCTTGCTTTCAAAGTGTCTCACACATGTGTTTCATTTCTCCACCAGCATCAAAAACCTCTTGAGAACACAAGACACCATGTATCATAACAAACATTTCATGGGACTAGGCTGCAGGACAATGCAGAGCTTTCTACAAAGGTGCCGAGTTTTCTGTTTTATGTAAGAGCGAAGGGGGCCAGAGAATTTCCAAGGCCGAAACATCGAATGTACATGTTTACCCAGCGAATGAGGCAGAGGCAAAGACAAAGTGAATTCTGGTTGGGCTGCGACAGCCTCCTGTGACAGACAGCCTGCAGAGTGAGGAGAACGTGCCGGATGTGCTGGCAGAGGAGAAATGAATGCAGCAGCGGGGGATGCTGTGCAAGAGGATAGACAGCGGCCCGCATGAGCCTGCAAAGGCGCCTTCCTGCCCTCCTCACTGCTGTCCACTCGAGGCCAGGGGCCCTTCAGGTGGAGGGGAGCTAGCAAATTCCAGAGTGTGGCCGCCCAGGAGCCAAAGGTACAGCTACCAAATGGCACCCACCAAGTCAGCGATGGGAAAGGGAATACAGTGAATAATATGGGTAATAATATGGTGATAACGTGAAGCTGAGCCCACACTCTTCCTCCTCATAGGGTTGTGGCCCCTGACAGGAATCTGTGTGATGCTGAGACTGGGAAATGCTTCTTTGATAAGAGAGCCCTCCTAATGCCTGCAGCAAGAAGCCTGTTGACAAATGTTTGCCAGTGATGCTTGGAGCTCTTCGAAAGAGAAAGCCATAATGCAGTGCCTCCCTAGGGGGAGTGCCTAGAGCAGGCCAGCCCCTTCCTTTTACCAGGGAGGAAAACTAAAGTGCAGAGAAGTCCTGCGAGGTGGTGCAGATCACTCAGTGGGTGAAGAAGCTGGAGCTGAGAGCTCAGCTCTCCCAATCCTTGGTTCACCACTCAGTCTTCAGGCAAAGCTGTCTGCAGCTCTGCAACCAGGGAGTGAAGCCTAGCTGCAACAGACCTCCAATCCACCTGCAGTGACTTCAGTGTAGTGTTTCCTCTTCCCAGGTTCTCTTTCAATCTGGCTAATGTGGTTGCCTTGGCCTCCCATCCTGGCCTCTGATTCTAACTATACATCTTTCAGAGCTGCAGAGACCTAAGCAATGAGCTACTACACCTCCCTTTACAGAGCAGAAGCCGTCATCAAGATTAACTCTCAAATGGGCACAGTGGATGCCTGCCTGCAATCCCAGGTACTTGGGAGGCTGATGCAAGAAGATTCCAAGTTCAAGGCTAGTCTGGACACCTTAACTTGACCCTGTCTCAAAACAAAATTAAAAGGTCTGGGTGGCAGAGTGCTTGCCTACTATGTACAAGGCCTTGAGTTCAATCCCCAGCACTGCCAAAGAAAGATAAGCTCTCATGATGATGATGATGATCCGTATTATCAGCTGGTCACTAGTGATGGCTCCTAAGCTGGTCCCCTCTGTGGGACACTTAGAGAAGGTGACTAGAGCGGCAGCTCCTGAGCAAACAGCTCACAGAGCCTAGAGGAAAAGCCTCTCCACTGACAGAGCTGGGCAGGACAGGTGATCTTCAGAGCCACAGGCGAGCCTCAAAGTGACGTTCTAGTGCCAATTTTTAAAAACTGCCATCATTGCCAATCCTCTGTTTTACATCTTTTAATTGTTTTAAAATTGTGTACTCTGGGACTGGGGATTTAGCTCAGTGGTTCCACTGCCTGCCTCACAAGCGCAAGGACCCAAGTTCGATCCCCTGTACCAAAAAAAAAAAATTGTGTACTCTGTGACTCCCTCGGATAATTACAACAGAGGGCAGCACTTTATAAAATAAATAGATGAGGAGCTGCATTTGCTCCCCCAGAATGTGCAGGGAGGAGGCCGGGTGGGATAGGGGAGCCTCACAGCACAGTTTTCCAGGGCTTGGCGGTGCAGACCCTCATTCTTGCCAGGACCCCCTTTCCCCTGTTTCCTCCCAGTGTTCACTCTGGGCTTCCAAGCACCAGCAGGTGCTGAGACAACTGAAGTCAGGTGTTGCAGGAGCCACGTGGAAACATCTTGGACTTCGCTGTGGCCTGGCCGGCCAGGCAGAACCTGGGGGAATAGACGGAACACGGTGTCCTGTGTGAAGTTCTAGGGAATCTAGGCCCCTTCATCAGACGGGAAGAAGTACAATGAAAAAGACACATCTAGAACCACATCTTCCCAGCCCACTTGAAAGGACACAAGGCCAACCAGGAGCTGCTGATGAGTATCAGTGCATTCATCGCTAGGAGGGCAGGTCACAAACTCTTCCATAAAATCCAAGAGGAGGGAATACTGCCAACCCTTTTCACGAGGCCAGCACCACTCTGATACCAATGCCAGACAAAGGTACCCTAAGAAAACAAAATTATGGGCCAATATTCTTTTTTATTTTTTGGTACCAGGGATAGAACTTGGGACCCTGCGCTTGTGAGGCAGGAGCCAGAAACCAATATTCTTCATGATGCAAAAATCTTTAATGAAATGCTAACAAGTTAAATTTGATAACACATTAGAAATATCACCCATCACATTCAAGTGAAATTTATTCCTGGGATGCAGAGATGCTTCAACATACATAGATCAATCCATATTAACAAAACTAAGGACAAAAGCCAAAGGCTCGTCTCAATAGATGGAAGAAAAAGAATTTGACGAAATTCAAATTCCTTTCATGGGAAACACTCTCACAATTAGTTATGAAAGGAATGTGCCTCAACACAAGAAAGACCATGTAATGAATCCACAGCCAACATCTTATTCAACAACAGAGAAGTAAAAGCCTTTTCTCTAAGATCCAGACCATGACAAGGATGCTTGCTCTCAGCCCCTCTATTCAACGGAGCCCTAGAAGTCCTAGCCAGAGCATTCAGGCAACTGAAAGAAACAAAGACATGCAAATAGGAAAGGAAAAAATTAAATTGTTGCTGTTTGCCAATGATGTGGTCTTTTTTTTTCAGACAGGGTCGCTCTATGTCCCAGTGATCCTCCTGCCTCAGCCTCCCGAGTGCTGGGATCGCAGGCATGTACCACCACGCCCAGCTTGACATGGTCTTATATAGAGAGAGAAAACGCTAAAGAGTCTACCCCCCAAAAAAATCTTTATTACTGATAAATGAATACAGCAAAGTTGCAGGATACAGAATCAATATACAAACATCTGTAGCAGTTCTACACACTAACAACAAAAAGAAATCAAGACTCTGGCCATGGTGGTGCACACCTGTAATCCCAGCACTTGGAAGGCTGCGGCAGGAGGATCCCTGTGAGTTTGAGGCCAGCTTGGGCTACATAGTGAGTTCAGGGACAGCTACAAAGCAAGACCTTGTCTCAAAAAACCAAAACAACAACATCAGCAACAAAAAAGAAACCAAGAGAACAATCCTGTTTATAATAGCTATAGTCTGGTGGTTAAGAAGGCCAAGAGGTCATTGTGTCATTAGTCACTGTGTCACTTAGGGCGAGTGGCTTCACTTTTCTGAATTTTGCTGACTTGATTGTCTTAGTTTAATGATGACTGTAGTAATGATACCTTCCTCATAGGAATACTGGGTAAAGTAAAAGGAGAGGGATAATTCACAAAGTGTTCATTTAGCCCTTGCCAGGAACATGGCAGACAGTAGACACTAGTTATTGCTGTCATTGTATACTTAGTGCTTTATGAGTAATCATGAGAGGGGCAAAAGACCGAGAATATAGTCAGCCTTTGGTTCTCATTGATTCCCATCCACAGATCCAACCAACCAACCTGGGAAAATATTAGGGGGGAAAGCAGACTATGTGGGTACTAAACATGTACAGACTTGCTTCATGTCATTATTCTCTAAAAATGCTGTATAACAACTAATTGCGTAGCATGTACATTGTATTAGCTAAAAGTAATCTAGAGACTATTTAAAGTACCCAGGAGGATATGCATAGGTTACATGCAAGTACTGCACTATTTTATCTGAAAGACTTAGGCATCCAAGAATTTTGATGTCAACAGGGGGTCCTGGACCCAATTCCCAGCATATATGGAAGGAGGGCTGTAGTCATTGTCCCTGTGGTGTCTGTTCTCCAAAACTCCACCCACCTGCTTCTTGCCCACCCAAATCTGATTCACCACAAGGAGCTTCTCTATTAGTAAAAAGAGCATGGATTTGGGGCTGGTGGTGTAGCTCAGTGCCCAGAATGTATGAAGCCCTGGGCTCAATCCCCAGCATTGCAAGAGGGAAGGAAGGATGGAATTGTGCCCCGACTCGGCTGCTTTCTAGCCCTGGGCCTCTGACCACTTCACCTAAGTTCTCTCAGCCTCAGTTTCCTCTTCTGCAGGATGGAAATAGTAATAGAGACTCTGCCTACTTCAAAAGGCTGTGATGAAGCCAAAATGTGACCATGTGACTTTGCTTCAAAAGCCACAAAGTGGAGCTGGGGATGTAGCCCTGTGGCAGAGCACTTGCCTAGCATGGGTTCCATTTCCAGTGCTGCAAAACAAATAAATGATGTAAAGTAGCCATGTATGGTGCCACATGCCAGTAATCCTAACACTCTGGGAGGCAGCTGAGGTAGGAGGATCAAAAATTCAAGTCCAGCCGGGGAACTTAGTGACACAGTGAGACCTGTCTCAAAAGGAAAAGTTTGCTCCAATCTTATAGAGCTTGCTTGAGCTCCACCCTCTCCTGTGTTTTCTGTGAAAATAGTTCAACTCAAAGTGTCCTAAGAGAGAAAGAAACAGATGTTCATGCAACTGAGAAATTCATGCGTAAATTCTGGAATAGATGGATAGAGGTTTTCAAAGATGACCTCAAAAACTCTGATTCTGTGTTTCCCCCACTCTGCTTTCTGGTGTTGACTTTCTCCCAGGCAGGCTCACACTGTGAGGTGGTACAGGTGGCTACAAGCAGCTCTGGACTTGAGACCTCCTGGCTTAGCAACTTAAAATAGAAACAGTCTCCCACCCCCAGGGTCAACAGTTCAGCAAAAGTCTCAGAAATGAGCCTCCGTGGCCTGGCTCGGTCCTGTGCCTGTCCCTGGTCCTTACCTTACGGCCTGAAGAATGGACTGTGCTGCCTCCCATCCCTGGGTCACACGCCTGTTACCCGGAACTCCCAACATTTACAGAATGGGCGCGGGGGGAGTCCCCCAAGCTAGTGTTTTCAATAGACAAAAAAAGAGATGCAGGATGACATGTGTCCCCAGTACACAGATCTTACTCTTGCATTTTCTGGTAGGATGCAGGAAAAAGAAAGAGCTGGACCAAAAGCCCAGAGAGCAACCGGGCATTTACTCAGCCCTCGGGCTGAATCAGCGCTTTCCGTCCCCAGGAGCACTCTGACCACTTCAGAGGAATGAAGGCCTTGTAACATTTTAGGAAGGGAGCTTTTGCTGGAAAAGCTAACTGTGAATGATAAAGGGAACAGAACCCTACTGCTTGACTCATTCAAGTAGCAGAGTGGTTTGTTTGTGGTGCCAAGGTTGAACCCAGGTCTTGCCCTTGCTAGGCAAGAGAATCCTTAATCAACACCCCCTGACGGTCAAGTTGAGGCAAGGCTGCTCCCTCTCTTCGCACCCCCAATCCTGCCTCTGACTCCTTTCCCACTTATGAATCTGCATGAGCCCAGGCTTCAGTGCTCTGCACGTGGGTTATAGGGTCGCCAGCTGTGCACAGAAGAGCAAAGGCTGAGTGGGGCCTCCAAGAAACCAAGGTCTTTTGATCTAAGTCCCATTTCTTTCAGTCTATTTCCACCCCTCCCCACCCCAGGCCTGACAGATTCCTCCACCTCATCTCTACTTTCACCTAAAAATAACACTTGCTGTTTCATCACCGCAGCCCTCTGTGCACACTAATTCAGGAAGCTCCAATAAGAGCACGCAGACCCCCCAGATCCTACACTGCCTTGTCGCAAGTGCTCACATCCTTTTCCATGCATCGATCAGTGCTGCCTGTAAGGTTTTTTGTAGTATCATACAATCTCATAATATATATTAGGAATATCTCTCAGTGACCACTGATACCATCCTATGGGATTAATTGAATAAATCCAAGTTGTTTTTTCATTGAGTAGATGTACCATAAATTACTTTCCCGGGCCCCTACTGTTGGACAACTAGATCACCCACAAGTGTTACTATTATGTTTTTTAAAAGTAAAACGAAGGGCCGGGGATTTAGCTCAGTGGTTCCGGCACCTGCCTCGCAAGTGCAAGGTCCCAAGTTCTATCCTGGTACCAAAAAAAAAAACCAGAAAGTAAAATGAAGCCAGGCATGGTGATGCATGCCTATAATTTTAGCACTCTGGAAGCCTGAGGCTGGAGGATTACAAATTCAAGCCTAGCCTGGGAAACTTAGCAACTTAGCCAAGATTTGTCTCAAAATACAAAAGAGCTAGGGATGTAGCTCAGTGTGAAGGCCCTAGATTCAATCCCCAGTACTGTGAAAAGAAAGAAAGAGAGACAAATGGGGTTAGAGTAGAGAGGCGTAACAGCCAAGCAGGGATAGGGTGATGTACAGAATATATGAGAGAAAAGACCTGCTTTCAGAAAACATTTTTGTCAACATCATGTAGCTCACACCTGGAATCCAGGAGTTTTTCCGGGCTTTGCTCCTGCCTTAGCAGAGTTTCGACTATTTGAATGACATAAAAAGCTTTAGTCATCAGGATCCTGTTGTTGTTGCTATGTGGTGCAGTCCCTTAGCTTTCACTGTGTGTTTCAGTCATCCATTATGAGATAACAAATCACCCTAACCCTCCCTGGCTTAAATCAACCATCTTTTTTTGCTTATGATTCTGTGGGTCAGCAATTTGACAAGGCTCTGTCGGGTAACTTTTCTGTTCCACACACTGTTGGCTGTGGTCATTCACCTGGTGACTGGCAGGAAGGTCTAAGAAGGGATCACTTGGGTGTCTGACACCTCAGCTCTCCTCCAGGTGGTTATCTCAGGCTTCCTTGCCTCAGGGACATCTCAGAGTATCCAGACATGACAACTGCCACCAAGCAGGACAAACCTGAAAGTTGCTAGTGTCTCAGTGTCCACCCTTGGCACTCATGCCGTTACTTCTAATACATTCTGTCTGCCAAGCTAATTCA